TGGTGTAGAGTTCCATAGCTGGGAGGTGGACTTACCCTAGTCAGAGATATCACTGTGGGCTTTGGGTGGATGTTCCCACAGCACCATGGAGCCCCACTTGTGATGTACAGGAATTCCCTCAGTCACTTGTAGGGCCTCGAGTTTTAGGCTGGCGTTTCCCCAGCCATTTGAAGGGGAGAACCCCCAGCCACTTGGTGTATGGAGGAGAACTGTATGATTTGCCCAGCTGTGTGTAAAGCCAACAAATGCGGGTGGGAGCTCCCCAAATTAGGCCTTCACAGTTTCCCTGGGTGGAGGGGAGTTGCCTGGATGCCAATAGTGGCTTGTCAAAGGAAAGAGAAGGAGAGTAGAAGAGAAGGAGTGATAGAAGAAAACACAGATGGGAGCAAGAATTCCCAGCAAACTAACACCCACTCACACAAAAAATGCAAAGACTAAAGAAAAGTTAAAGCTGACAAAATAAGAAGACAACAAAAAAGGAAAACTGAACTGCTGAGATTGTGGCAGGAAAGAGAGAAGAGATAGAAGAGGAGAAAAGAAGAACAAGTGAATCAAGAACCAAAAAAGAAATAAAAGCAAAGGTGAGAGAAAGAAAAAAGATAGATAAAGAGATAGCTGAGCTCCATGCCATGATGTGTGTAGCACTGCCTCATGCCTCGTGTCACAGTGGGCAGGCTGTAGCTCTCCCCATTGGATAGGCATCTGGAAACCAGCAGTGGCATGTGGTAAGAAATATGGGAGAAGAGAGAAACAGGAAAGCAGAAAGATAGAAGAGAACAAAGAGAGAGAAGGAAGAAAAGAATGAAGGGGGAAAACACAACTGTGCTCACTGAGATTGGCTGTGATGGTAAAGAGAAAAGAATGAGAGGTGGAAAAAATAAAGAATACCAAGATAGCTGATCCCTGATTGCCTGAATGTGGGGCCCAAGGTTTTTAAATCCTGCCCCAAGATGGCAGGTTGATGTTCCCTTTTAATGCAGGGACCCAGTGGTGCTGGACAGAATTTCCCTAGTTGTCAAGATCACCTTAGAGGTCCAGCAGAGGTTTCCTCAGCAGCACAGAGTACTGTACATGGCTGTCACAACTGCCTCATGAGGTATGCAGCACTCCCACAGAGGGAAGGCTGGAGTTCCTCTTGCTATTTGGCATGAATTGCCCTAGGTGGAGGGTAGTTGCCTGGAAGCCAGTAGTGGCATATGATAGGAAAGAGAGGGAGAGAAGAGGAAAAAGAGCGAAAAAGAAGAAAAAATAAAGAAAGAGAGAAAACAAAACAAAACAGCCAGTTGAGACCAACTGCAGTGGGAAAGATAGAAGGGTGAGAGAATAAAAGAAGAAGAAATAGAGTGGTAAGTAATGAGATAACTGAGGCTTTATCACCTGACCATGGGGCTGGAGGAGTTCCAACTCTGCCTCAAAGTAGCTGGGTAGTGTGCCTGCTTGATGTAGGGTTCCACAGATGCTGGGTGGGATTACCCTTGAAGGCAAGATCACAATAGCAGCCAGGTGTCAGTTACCATCATGGTATTGAGCACTGGAATTCACTGGTATATACCTGCCTTGTGCTGTATGTAGCACTACAGGGGTGGAGGTGTTCCCTCAGCCCCGTAGGGTACTAGGACAAGCAGGACCTCCCCAGCGGTGTGTAGAATCACTGAGAGTGAAGCTGGGCTTATGGCCCCATCTAGACTGCTGGTGCCCTGCTAGATCAGAGGATTTTAAATATATATATATATATATATGAATTTTCTCCTTTACAGCTAGAATAGAATGAAATTAAATTAAATTGTCTCTCTGACTTAAGGCTCTGGGTCTGTGCTCAGTTAGGAACTTAGGCTTGCTCCAAAGGTTCTTTGTTATGTTGAAGGCCTCCAGGCTCTGTAGCTAAGTTCTGGCATTCCTTAGTTTGGGCTCCCTTCTTATGCTGATGTATGTTAAAGGGACTCCTTCTATGTACTTCCTTGGAATTGAGCAATGAGCCTGAGATTTGCAGTTTTTACCACGAAAATATATTCTCTCTCTTTTTTATATTGGGCTTATGAGGTGCCCTGATTTGGGGGCTGTCACGCTGGCCCCCAGAGGGGTAGATCCAGCTTATCAGGGAGGTTGTTTTCTTCTCGGTCAACTGGAACTGAATTCACCTCCCTGAACTATGGCTATCCCCGCTTATTTTCTCCCACACTACACCCTGCCTCAGGTAAATTCCTGCTTTTTCTTCTACTCCAAATTATGGCTACCTGCCACCCTCACTCCCCTAAAGGAAGCTAACAGCACGGAGAGCTGGTGTGGG